ACAAATCACAAATATTAATTTTATTAAAAATTAAATAATATTTTATTATTAAGTATTTTTAATGTATGGAAAATTAGAGAAGAGAATTGGAGTATTAAACAATGTTTAATCTTATATATTGTTATATACATATTATATATATTTCCAAACATTTTTATTAAAAATAAAAATATAATTAAATTATATTAGAGTTAAAATTTAAAATAATATAAAAATATTTTTTTTTTGACCTTCGTTTCTCAACTGAGACGCATTAAAATTAATAATACAGCGGTCCTCAAGAGCTGGATTACGCTTAAATAATTTATTTATTTAAATTAATCGGAAGTCTGGAAGTGTAAATATTAAATTCTTTTGGTAAATGAAAACAAGGAATTGAAATTTTTTGAAAGAGTACCCATGAACTTAGGCATACGCTAATACACGGGAACACGTGTTATTGACACAGCTGTCAATATACGTAAAACATATATAATATTTAGAAAGTCATTTGTTTATTAAAAATAAAAGTTTAAGTGGGTCAAGGTTCTATGAAGTTTTCTAATGATGATTTGTTTTATGAATATTTATGAATATCTGTTTAAATATTAAAATTCTTACTTATGAATTAAATGAAATCAATATAGAAATAGAAATAGAAATATAGAAATAGAACTTATTTAAAATTGGACGAAAAGAAAATAGACACGTCTTTGATTTTTAATGAATTGAATATCAAATTTTTAACGAATATCAAATAATATATATATCTGAATATATTATGCTAGAGCATAATATCTTTCAAGTCAATTTGAAGAGTATTTATTAATACCAAATATCAAATCAAATATCCATTTATCTTTTTATTTGTGTCTCATTTAGATTTTAAAAACCTTAGGCGGTTAGTGTCCCTCAAGTGAACTCTTCGGACTTATAGTTCATATAATGGTTTTAGATTCGATGAAGGTTGGGGATAAATATTGACTGTCCATATTACTAAGATTACTACGGTGAGCAAATCCAAAAATTCGTATATGATGATTTGGTTAGGTTGAAGTGGAGAGTGATAATCTACATATAGATCTGTATAAACGATTCCGAAATGGAATCAAATTTTAAAGAAGATTTATTGTAGAAATCTTATAGGACGTTTAAGTTTTTTACGAATCTGAGCAGCTTGCTAACGTGTTCTAGTTTTCCAAATTAGGGAGTTTTGAAATGTTGTGTGTTGTAAATAATCGTGAGTTTCACTTTTAATAGAAAATATGATACAGTCATGAGTTACAATCTCAATGAAGAATGTCTTAGAGATCATTTGAATAACATATAATTTTGATTAGCGTTTTAAAAACTACTAAGCATTGATAAATGGAACATTTGATAAACAGACAAATGATATGTATCAATTCTGATTTTTCTGTTTGAATGAAACAAGTTTTTGTGTATGTAGGTAGATCACTTCGATATATGGGTGAACCATGCAGTATCCACAAAAAATTACTACTGAATAAGAGAACATAGTATATATGAATGTTAGGGAACATTAGGGTGAATGTTGTTAACTAAAATCTTTGGTTTTGATGGACACTTTTTGAAATCATTCAAATGATTAGAAAATTACTAATTGTAATATTTTAAACTAATCCGAAAATATGTATAGGCATAAGTTATTGATTTGCAACTGTAATAATTAAATTTATACTCTTTTATATCTATAGTATTAAGAATAAAATAAATAATGGTTATAAGGATTCTATTGATGGAAATTCTATTGATGGCACATGTATCATTGGTTTGTATCAAAAATAGTCAGAATGAGTCTGTAGTTGATTGGTTATTCTGCACTTAATCTGAAGTTAATTAATTTGAAGTAATTCGGTTTGCATGATAACGTTCATTCTTATAAATGAGGGACACCCAAACTAAGCTCGATAACTCAATAACACAGTTATGGTAAAGTGATAAAATAAAGACCTGAAAGTCTTTATTTATTCTTTCTCTATTAAGTTACACAGTGTTGCATTGAACTGCCAAAATTCTTAATTATTATTTTTTTCAAGGACTTCAAATTTTATTTTTCAAATTAAATTGAAGTTTTGCGCAACAATTCACATCAACAGATAGTTTGCCGAATACGGAAAAAAAGTATCAGTTCCAATGGCACGGAAACTCGTTAATTCAATTTTATTTATAATTTTAGTTCCACAAAAACAAATGGACATAAAACTTTATCACGTTCCAGAGTTATCAACATTCTGAACACCACTTAATATCTATTTAAGGGTTTTGGACATAAAATCTAAACCGGTTAACTGTTTCTACTTATCTATTAACTTTATTAAATATATTATTATATCATTAAACTTTATTGCATAAAATAAACCGTATTATGTACATTTCATTTCCTCGAAAACTATTCCCACAATTTTTTATTCCCTTTAGTGTGTTCCCATTGTCTTTATTAAAACAGTACAAAAAGCTTTCGGCAAATCAATTTAGAATTAATCAATTAAGAATAAATGATGCCAAATTATGATGATCGTAATTTAAGATATTTGACACTTGAGGTAAAATATAAATAAACGCAAATAGACAAGTCAAAGTTAAGAAATTCATTTAAATGTTTGTTTTTTTATAAGTAAATTATTTAATAGATCTGAACCCTCTTAGTTTTAGCAATCCGCTTCCCGAAATTTCTATTTTTTTTTCTAAAATAGCAGCTTATTTAATTTTACACTGTATATAAAAATATTTACTACCTACATTAACAAATGTTCAGAAATTCCTTCCTTTTCTCGAAATTGTTGAATTAAGTGATGCTAATTTCTTAATTTTAATGATCTTTAAATTTTTTTTGCGTTGTCTATATGTACCTTTTGCTTTTTTAATAGCAATTTCGCATATGTTATACCCAAAATTTTCTGGGTTTCCATGATCAATTAATTAATTTCTAACTAAATAGGTATATTATTATCTGCCAACAATTAAATGTGTACAAACACAAATTGTCCTAGAACTTTCACAGACAATAAACGCTCTTTTATTTACATAAATCAAGTTATGTCTATGGGAACGACCAAATTTCAAGTTGATTAATACAAGTTGTTTTAGCGTGATGAATATTAAACCTTACAAATATGATCTTTTTTTTTTGTTGAATGTAGATAGATTTATGGCACTAGTCTTATGATTGAAACTATGGATTTTTTATCTATTAATTTCTTTGAACATTGCTCAAACTTTCTCAATGACTTCCGATACTTTTTTAGTGAAAAAATATTATTAGAAATATTATTATTTTAATATATTCACATTTAAAAATTTATATTAATTCCGTGTTTTGAATAAATAAAAATCAGTGATGACAGAACAGAAAATTGGAACAAAGCAGAGTAATGTGCACATCTATGTATAAAATAATAATCTAATTTCAAATCTTATGTTGAGTATATAAAAATATTTAATTAAGAATATTATTGTGTAAATATTTGTATTTAGTTTAAAAAGTATATTAATATGTATACCATAAGTTTCATGGCAAACCTTATGCATACAGTTCAAGCGACTATAAAAAGCGTTAGAAATTTTTAAAAGCTATCAAATTCAGAAAACAATTTGAATAAGTACTTATAAACTAAAAAAGACCTAAATATCAATATGAGAGGAGTTATCATTTTCCTGGCTTTTATAATTATTCAAATTGCTTACATAAGAGCACAAGGAACTGGAGGAACTGGTACTGGTGCTGGTACTGGAACTGGTGCTGGAACTGGTACTGGAACTGATGCTGGAACTGGTACTGGAACTGGTACTGGAACTGGTAGTGGTACTGGTGGAACTGGAACTAGTACTGGAACTGCCACTGGTAATGGCGGGAGACGGCGTGTTACAGTAAGCAATCTTCAATACACAGCAGTTCGGAGGTTAAGGCGTAATAACAACAACTCGTCAACTACAAATAGGCGAAGATCGGCCACAAACCGTAGACGTGCAAATAGAAATAGAAAGAACAGAAGTGGACGCATAGTTTTAAAAAAAAATAGTGCCGCCAAGCGTTCTATACCCAAAAAGGGTTAATCCGATAGAATAATACTATTTAATACATATATAAGTTCAATTGAAATAAATTTGTTGAATATTAAATATACATAAAAATTTTCAAAATTGTGTTATCTTTTATTGATTTCATCAGCAAATATTAGTGTTTGCAATTTATAATATATGAATTAGTGTGAATAGAATTAATACGGATATGCCAATTAATTCTGTTCTCTACAATAAAAAGATTAAAAAGAGGATATAAGAAACGACAAAAAAGTTTATATTTTTTCGGTAGACGTAACTTCGGGGTTACATTTGAAACTCACTCACTTAAGTAAGTGATATTTGAAGTAGTATTGGAATAATGCCTAATAGATTTTAAACGCCTCCTATTGCAGGCGTAACTTACCTCGGGAATTTCTTAACATTTTTATAATAAGACAAATCGATTAGGAATATTCCTTTGTGTATCAGTATGTCTTTGCCTAGCTACTTTTAAACATATTAAACTTAAGTATATTATAAAGCGGTAGAAGAAAAGTATTCTTTGTTCAAACTTCAAACTACGAGTATCTACAAACTTATTTGGAAATTCGGAAAAGATCTGTAAAGACTTTAATAAAAACTATTCAAAATTATTACTCAATTGGTAAGTCTTGGTGTTTCTACATTTAAAGCACTTACATAAATGCTTTAATCATGTCCTACATATTCCTAGGACATAGGGATAGAATATATTAAGCAAGTGCAGGGCAGGCGAATTTACCAGGGCAGGCATTCTTTATGCTGATATTCACTTTGCAGATATTGGCGGCCGACTTTCAACAGTTGAACTGGTAATTAAACAAAAATATCCACACAAAGCTAAGCAAAACTGAGCAGACGAATCCTACTGTTAATTTGGTCTAAATTGGAGAAAAAAAGCACCAGCCAACTACCTGTTCAGCACTAAAGTATCGTTGCTGACGAGCCACTGCATAATAGGTAGGCAAACTATGAGATTGGGTCTACAGTATAAAGACTTTTATCGCGGTTGTGGCTCTGATGATGAGGAGGAAACTGTGCTCTATTTCGGGGCACTTTTTCTTACTGACCTGACAGAGCTGTCAGCTTGCAAAATTAGGACTTAACCAAATTCATAGAACTGTCAAGTTGATTCACCTTTACCTAATGAGGGAGCCGTTGCCTTTCGGCATTCGTCGTATACTAACCTTTTAGTCCATGTGCAAACTAACGCTATTCCTGTGATATCATAACAGGCTATTATTTGAGCTGCTTTATTGGACGCTACTTCAACTCTTAATCTATTAAAGCACCTTACAAGTCTTGGTTATCTATATTGGAGTTGGGTTTTGTAAAATGAACCAAAGTCACACGCACACTTGCATGATCTTAATTGAATATATTTAATAAATTTTTAGAAAAATTATCTGCCTATCTTTATATATGTATAGAGGCTTTTATTCAGCAGTAATACTTCAAACATCTAACAAGTTAAATTGTCTGGAGAAAATATGTTTTTTCTAAAATAACTTGCTAAAGGTTTTAATAAAGATTCACAGTCTCCATCGCTATAAATGCAGTCGGACAAATCTATTTTTCCCATACGGTACAGTTACTTACAAAAGTATCCATGTCCGGTCAGCATCTGAGTGAGATAGTAACTTGTGTCTCCCGATTTTCGTTTGAGCGAAGTGATTATATTTGGTATCAATCTAGCTGTCCATCTTCCTTGCGTGCTATTGTTCTTGCCATTTGTTGAGTGTAGTCGCTATTTGTTGTCCTGTTGTAGACTCTTTGGCGCTCCTTTGCTTGAAGATCAATTGAAGTTACACCTGCTATTACAAAAACTGCGATACGCTGATGTGATACGTAGAGCCACCCTTCTATGCACCGCTATTATTTCTTTTCTGCGCGTTTCGATATCTAGTGCATCTGCCCACACTTCGCTACCATATAAAAGAATTGCGTTTACTATTGTCATTAACAATTTCCGTTTTTCCGCGACGGGTCCTCCCGTGTTAGCCTTAGTTTGCTTAGTCTACTGCATACTTTATTTGCGCCCAAAACGTAAGTTTCCCATCTAATCTTATTCCAAGATAATTTATCGTTTTTTGGGTCCTCAGCACATTATTATTTACTCGCATTTTTATTTCTGTATTTATATGCTTTCGTGTTTATAGTAATATTTCCGTTTTATGAGTGGCCTAGCTCTTAGCATCACTAGTGTGAGTTTTCTTTGAACTAATTGGGCATCACGGCCGGAAATAATTGCTGCCACATCATCTGAGTAAGCATCATCTGAGTAAGTATCTTGAGGCATGTCTATTTCCAAAATGTTATCATTAGTGATGTTCCATAATTCAGGTCCCAAGATTGATCCTTGCGCTGTTTCAGTCGTTATTTGTACCGTTTTTAAACCATTTTTTGTTGAATAAATTAATTGTCGGTTTGTTAAGTAGCTTCTGATTACTCTCCTTATATAAACGGGTACTTGGAAGCGATTTTCTACCGTCTGTATGACGTCTTTCCATCTGAGACTATTAAAGGCATTTCTGATGTCTAAGGTGGCAAGTAGTCTTGAGTACTGGTCTTGAGTAGTGACTACCACGTTGAAATTTATTTTACATTTACAGTGAATGACCAACCTGGTTTATACAGCAGGTTGAATTTCCTCATAAACAACAATGAATGCAGTATCTGCAAAGTTTTTTATTTATATTAGAGTGAAGGTTTCGAAAACATTCAAATTCGGTTTTAAGAGCTATATTGGAAACATACACTATACAAATCCTCCTAAATAGCAGCAAAGGCTGAATCAAATAACAAATCTTTGCTATTTCAGACTCTTTAGCATTGATTTAATAAATATGTAGATATAGTGGCGAAAAAAATTATATATATTTTTCAAATCTAATTTGTTTAAATATGAAATTTAATTAGAATTACGGACCTATTCTGTGCACTTGACAGATTTGTCAAATTCTTTAATAAAATTTTTGATTTTTATAAAGCAGAAAGCTTTTTGGTATTCTGGACACATCTTGACAAATTTCAAGGCTAAAGTACCTAGTGCTTCTCACCAGACTATGCTGTAAAGTGTTTTGTATAGAAAACTGTTCGTAATTGTTCGTAGCTGTTCGTAATTGTTCGTAATTGTTCGTAACTGTTCGTAATTGTTCGTAACTGTTCATAAAAAATGCTTGTAAAAAGCACATATTTTAAGTTGCCAAAAGCATTTTTCATGCATTCAATTAACAATAAAAAATATGCTTGTAAGGAGCGTATATTTTAGTAAAGAATATTTGTCGTGCATGCAAAAAATAAAAAATGCTTAAAAAGAGCATATTTTTATAGTTGTCAACAGCATTTGTAGTATTGACAACTAACAAGGAAAACAGCTTTTTATTTGTCTCAGAATACCAAAACCTTTACAGCAGTCAATTTTGACAAGTGTGAATGTTTGACAAGTTTATAAAGTGCACAGAATAGGTCCGTACATTTAGACATTAAATTACACAAATAAAATTGTTAATTTCATATCGAATAAATTAAAATAATTTAAATAAATTAGAAAATTGAGTTGAGTATTTTATGTTTGAAATAATTAAATTGTCTTCAACTTAATTTTAAAAAATATTTTTAAAACAATTTGTAGATCGAAAATAGTAACAAATCGTAAGACACATTTTAGTTTGTCACAAATAAGTCACTTTGTCACATTTTCCAGTAGAAAGTTACCACAGAAACATGTGAAAGGCTGCCTTGCAGTTTATAAAAAAAAAAAACAAAAATCTTAAGAGCAACAGATACTTGTGTATCTTTTCATGATTGCAGTTTAAATAGTTGCGATCTGGAAAACACTCTGCGGGCAAGTCAAAAAATATGAAAGATTTTATTAGCCAACTTCGAGGCACCACAGCAGGCGAATATTGCATGTTTACTTCTTTTTAAGTGTAAAAGAGTGTTGATGACTTGAAATTCTTCTCTATTTTATAATCAGTCGAGTTGTTTTCATGATCAAACGAGATCAAATTAAAAAAAAATATTTGCCATTATTTTTCATGTAGATTTTTAACAAACCTATTAGCTTCAATTTTATAAAATCGCTACACGATCCAAAGCGCAAATGAAATGAACATAGTTTATAAAACAAATTAAAATCATCAAATATATGAAGTTCATTAAATAAATGAAGATTAAAAGTAAGCCAACATTTAAATTTATATTCTAATAATTTAGTCTCTTAAATGAACCTAAAATTAAGTCACAAGTAACAATAAAAGTCCAACCGTGGTGTTAAAATAATTTACTTGTTAATGTGTTTTTACTAACTAAGAAAGTTGTCTGCCACGAGTATCTGTACCGAGATGTGTTCATGGCGGTTAACTGATGATTGCATTTCCATACCCAGTTTAGGATACAATATTACAAGAAAATGTAGCATAGCTTTAAAAAAAGTGAAAGACTAAAATACTAGTGAATGAATACAAGATTTTATTATTACGAAAGTCATAAAACTTCATAATGTCTAGGAATTCATACCATGTATGCGTAAAAACTGTAATATACCTATGTACAAATGAATTTTTATTACTTTAAAATAATTTAAATTATTAAGATATGATGCTGATAAGTTAGATCTCTACAAATTATATGCAACCATTTCATCTTTTCATCAAAAATATTCTTTAAAGCTATAAACATTTTAAGAGTTTAACAACGTTTTTTGTACCCAATAGGTAGTCAGTCAAAGCTATGATAGTCGTTATGAGGGCGGCTATATATATTTCTAGCCTAAGCAACACTAAGTGTTGCCAGTTGCAATCTGACATTTCCATTGGAAAGGTTGACATTTTTTAGCATAACATTACTCAGAACGTGTTGTCATTTAATTGTGAATTGTTTTATTTACAGACTTGAAAAATTCATCTCGACCAAAAAATGGATTTAGAATTAATACGTGAACATTTTCGTGCGATCATTTTTCACAACTTTCAACGTGAATTATCACGACAAGAGTGCATTGATAAACTTAAATCTTTGTTTGGCGATAAAGCACCATTTTATAGCACTGTAAAAAACTAGTTTAATAAATTCAATCGTGGCCGACGCTCGTTCAACGACGAATTCCGTGAAGGTGGTCTAAAAATGGCCGTTGTGCCAGAGAACATTGATGCCGTGGTGAACTGATAATGCAAGATCGCTATGTGACATACCGTGAGATAGAGGCATCCTTGCACATTTCTCCCACCAGTATACATTCGATATTGCATGAATACCTGGTCGTCAACAAGGTTTGTTCTCGTTGGATCCTGCACAATTTGACAATCGCTCAAAGAAAGACTCGTGTCGATTGGTGCAAAGAAATGTTGAAAAAATACGTTCGCAGTGCTTCAAATGACGTTTATAAGATCGTCACAGGTGACGAATCATGGATCTATGTATAAATCAGTATAAAGCAGGCTAGAGAATGCAAAACAATAAAACAATTTTTGATGATAAATATTCGCAATTTCATTATTAGGCCAGAAATATATATAGAAGCCCTCGTATAATAAAAATTCACTCAATTAAATATCAAATTAGTAATTGTAAAAGTAATATTTAAAATAAACATAAATAAATTATTTTGGTAGAGGTTGGTAGAGAAATAGTAAAGATAAGACAACAACAAAAATTTTTTGTTGTACTCAAAGCTGTTTTGAGTATTGGTAAGTGCTCATCGCCACTGATCTTACAAAATATTTGAATTTTTGAATTAGTTTATAGCTCATATATAATTTGTATGGACTGCAAGTGTCAGGCTTAGAACTCGCACCTGTCAAATTAGAATCAATCATCGCTTCTAATCGTGTTTGTCTATAAGTAATTTGTCACAATTAGCCCTGACCACTTGTCGAAAAACGTGATGGTTTTTTCTAACTTTATAAAAAGTCTTAGACATTTAGACCTATTCAATGTATTAAATTTTTTATATTTTAACTTTTTTTCTTTTTGTCATAAGATGCGTCACTTTCGGCAAAAAAATTAACATTAAAAATTTATTTTTTTATATTATTTAATTATTTGAATTTTTGGACGACCATTCAGTTATTTCGGCCAGTCAAAAATTTAGATCATTATAATAATATAAAAAAAAAAATTTTTTATAGTTCACTAGATTTCGAAACCTCTCTACCAAATATACTAGTTTCTATTAAGTAAAATAGTTACTTCTGTCATAACTAACGTTATATTCCGACTTATATTAATAACAAATTATTGTGAAATAAAAAATAAGTGAATGATAAATATTTTTATATCATCTTATGTAGATAAATAAATTGTTAAATTTATAAAAAATAAATAATATTCATATTGGTATTTGGTATCTTACTATATATGGAAAGTACGTATGATGTCAACTAAACACCTAAGTAAATAGACTAATTTCTTTTGTCAGTGAACTTTCAATAAGAAATATTCCAAGGCTTACATATTTTGAATTTTGCTAATGAAAAAAAAATATACATTATAAGTTTATATTTGAGGTATAATTGATTTATTGATAACACTAAAAGTATGTTTCCATAATCTGTTGAACTGTAAACAAACGCATTCAGGAATTAGTATTTAATGAAATCTTAGTTTTTATTAATTGAAAATGTAATGTATATATAATACATATATATTTAACTTTTTGTGTGATGTATTCTTTAGTGAAATTTTTTCAAGCAAACAGAAGCTCTCTTAAAACTTTCAATGATCTTTCTGGCTGTTCTACATACAATAAATAACTTATGCCAATGTAAACGACAAAATCTTAAAATTACTCAAGTAACTTACTTAAGTCAGCAGTGAAAACACACTACAATAGTTGCTTTGAAAACATATGGAATGGAACTTAAGACCCTTAAATACTATATAGCAGTGTCAAAGAAATATAGACAGCTAATCCAAATTGTTAAAGAAGTCGGCTAAAATTGATTCTAAAAAATTAATTAGTGCTTAAATTTTAGAAATAAGATAAATTGTAAACAATTTTGATAATCTTAGAAAGTTTCATGGCTGTAGCAAGTATAAGTGGATAAGGATTAGACATGAGTTTTGGGAACTATAACTACTATATAAGTAAAGAAATCAAAAATCAAGTCAAATTCATTATTCCTATTTACTACATTCGCCTACGATGCCAACCCCATCGTCTCCCCTAAAGAACTACTTGTAGTGGAAAAAGGATTTAATCCACCTCAAGCTTTCTTGATTTTTTTTTTAAAGCAGGAAGTAGTAACGCTAATATAAATTCAGTTAATATAATATTCATTCTATTGTATTTAAAGCACATATTCGTATGTATACGAGCTTAGTATCATGTTTCCAGTGCAGTTAAAACTAATTAAGTTAATGAAATTAAGATTTAAATCTTTTCCATTGGCATAAGCTGGCATAAGCATATGAAATAGCTTGTTTGTTTACATTTACATATGTTAAATGTAACAAATTTCCCCTCGAAGGGAAATTTGTTTTTAAGGGTTGCATTTGAAATTTTTCACCATAAATCAGTTAATTTATTTATAATGAACTCATTTATTTGAAAGCATTTTGTATGGTAAATTATCCTCATTAATGGCCGTAAACGATGTGTTCTCACATAAAGTTCAAAAATAATACACATTTGCATTCAAACAGTGTAGACGCCTAGTAAGAAGGAAAACCATGTCACAGCGGCGTATGCAGGATTTTATCAATGGAAAATATATTAGAAAACATTTTTTGGTAGTCTTTTTACAGTAGAATAAATTGTCATAGATGGGACTTCCAGTGTTTCAATTCCATTTGGCTTATTGATAAACAGTGTGTCTTAAACATTGCCAATATGTTCCTCAAAAACGTGAGAAATGTTTCATTTTAAGCCTATATATTGCGTTTACACTGGCAAGATTTTGGCAACATTTTTATGTTCTAATACAAATATGCATTATTTAAAATTTTTTTTTGTTAAGAGAAATCTGTATGTTAAAGTGAAAGAGAGAGTGTGTGGTAAAATTTTGTAAAAGTATAGTCAGTGCAGATGCACGGTTAGGAATTCAAATTATCTTATGGAAACATTGTAATTTTAATAAAGTTGATGAAAATACGATTTTCCGGAATAAAAATGAAAAAATATATGATTTAAGGAGAGTAGCTTATTTCTCTTATAAGTTGAACTAATAGAATGATAATATATAACGTAAAAATATTGAATTGTCACTATTTATTTTATTAAAAAATTTATTTTTAAACAGAAAAGTACAGAACATTTAAATTGCCTCTATTTATATTTGCTTAGTATATGTATCATAAGTTTGCTTGAGCCTCATTGAGGTTAAAGTTAGTTATAAATTTTACCCTGCATAGTTTAATCTAAAAAAAGAATATATAAAATATTAACTAAATAATATTAAGTAAATATTTCATTACTTTTATTAAATTTATTTATAATTTTCAAGACGCATAAATCATATAAAAGCAGCTTCAAAATTATGAAAAGTCACAGTTATCGTTTCGAAACGATTAGTGAAAATTAATAATATAGAACATGAATTCATATATTTTATTGCTAACAATTCTACTGATTGGGTGTGGATTTGTTAAAGCACAGGATACTACAACAGTTGATCCAAATAGTACAACCGTTTCAAGCACTACTACCGATTCGAGCACAACAACCGACTCCAGTACAACAACGGATTCAAGTACAACAACCGATTCGAACACTTCTACAACAAGTCCATCAACATCATCTTCACCATCAACCTCATCTTCTCCTACCAGTTCAACATCACCATCGACAGGTAGTAGACGACGTGTACGAGTGAGTAATCTTAGATTCAATTCAGTACGTAGAATTAGTCGTGGTGGTTCTACTAGTAACAATAGAAGTAATCGCCGGCGTCGTCGTAATAATGTCGCCAAAAACGTTCGTCGTCGCCAAAATCGAAACGTGGCCGTACGCAGACCGAATGGAAGAAAAATCGTATTAAGAGGTTAAATTAATTTAATTCATAGTCAAAGGATAATGACCCTTACACCTAACATAATTATAAATAATTATTTTAAATAAAAATATGAAACTTCATAAACAGAAACATTAATTACGTATTTGTGGTTTATTTTTACCTCACAAACGATTTAGTCAAATGTCCTCTCTGGTTTATGCATCATAGAGGATACGTTAAATATTTTACTTACCAACAAATGAAGAAAAGAAAATAGTCCAAAATCATTAGTTATCAATTTTAACAATTTTTTTCTGAAATATTAATACTAAATAATCTATATGCTAAGATAAAACACATCTTTCCCTGTGTCCAATATTTGGTATTTTCATTTATATTTAGCAATAATGCTGTGTTAATACTGGTTAAACAAAGTTCTAATAGTGGAACAAAAATTTTTTTTTCATATATAATGGTCGAAGAAGAAATTATTTCTAGTTTTGAGTAATGAATTATCTCTAATATATATTAGAGATAATAATCTAATATATATTAGATATAATAGCCCAGATTTGACCAATAATCCTGAAAATATTTTGGAAGAAATGAGAGTAAAACCAAGAAGCTGGAGAATGATAGAGTCATATGTGATTTAAGTCATCAAAGCAATGAAATTAGACCTAGAAAGAAGAACCGGAAACTAGGTTCATAAATAGTGCAGACAGCAAGAAAATGCGGTGATAAAGTGGAGGTCTGGATGCAGGTTGAAAATCGCAAGAACACGGCTTGAAATACCAACATAAAAGCGATCCTCCTCGAAGTAAGCGAAAGTGGTTCTGAGTGGAATAAGTTTCGCCGAAGAGGGGGTGTTTTAGACTGTATACTACATATTAATGTTAGGGAATCGAGCATACCATTCCCACGACGGTTGGTCTGATGATGCGTAAAGCATTTTACGTCCTCACCACAAAGAAAAATATATATATAGATAAATTGAGGAAAATAGTAAATCATGTCAGTATGGCAGCGAATGTTGATATTTACCAGAATTTGGAATCGAGTAAAATAGGTGTTACCATTGTGAATATTTTATAAAATGTTTAATAAATAAATTTAAGAACTTTTAACCAAAAATAATAAATAAGTGCAATAAATAAATAAATATTTACTTAAGTGCAGTGCAAAAAATCCCTAGAAAATTTTAACTTACTTTATCCCAATTTACTCGAACTCACACACGGTCATATTATATTTAAATTATATTTAATTTAATTATTTATTTATTATATTTAAATGTAACATATATATTATATAATTATATATTATATAATATAAATTATAAAAATAGATGACAAATGTGTGTCTTCAAATGTATAACCATTTTGAAATATAGAATAAATATAAAAGTCATCATCTTGTGTAAATTACCAATAAACTCTGATATGAAGAAGTAATAAATTAATTGCAAAACATGACGATTGATAATGATTTTAAGAGGTTTTCCCATCGACTACTGTAAACACAGAAGGAAAAGCTCCTACGCAAATTATATTCCCCATCGGAGGCTTTCAAAAAAAAAATGCGGTTGCTAGATTCTTGATTCACTTTCCGTTGCCTATTTCGACTTTAAGGCCAAACGCATAGATATTATCTCAACTTGGTCAAATTCTTCGTCTGCCACATTTCGTTCTGGTTTGGCTTGCTTTCACATGTAACGAAAACAGTTAAAAGCCAAAACAAACTCTTAACACATTTGGTCTACTGTTGCTGGCTCAATGTTGCCAGTTCTGTAGCTGCAATGTTGCTCCTGGTACCAGAAAATCAACAACACTAAGTCGATACGCCGACAACTGAGCTCGTTTGCTTTGATTGTGTACTTGTGCATTAAATGCTTTTTATTCGCTTTATTTTGGCATTCAATTGTAAGTAAATGGAACTCTCGAAGCCACTAAGCCAGTTTGTGTGTTCGGCGAAGTCAAGTTCAGCTTCATAGGCTGAATTCCTAGTTTTTACTAGTGGCGGCCGTTGCATTTGTCTCGCTTGCCTCATATAAATTCTTAATCACAAGCGGAAAATTCGCATTAGGTTTTCTAACATAGCGACGATGTTCACGTTTGCTGTCAGCATTAAAGTGACCTAGAGAAAGGATATAACCCAAAATACTTCGAAGGATACAAAATTCATTTTGGAAATTAACAAAATTTGTGAAAAAATAAACATTTGTTTAAAAATTTACCATTTATTGCTTTAAGAAATAATAAAAGTGCGTGTTTCGTTAATTAGATTTCTATATAAATTGTAAAATTTTACACATTAAATACAAGCATAACCAAATATAATTATTAATATATAAAATTTAATAATTATTACAATTGAAATCAAAATGAAAACGTTTATATATCTTTGTGTCATACTTTTTACGATTATTCTGGCTGCCAATGCAACGCCCACAATCAGTTCCAACGAAAATTCGGTAAATAAAATAAATATTTTCTTAATTCAATAAAATATATAAAACAAAGGACTTCAATGATCCGAAAATTATGAAATCAAGGATAATTTAATTTTGTGTAAAATTAATTCATTTCATTATTCGTACAAAAATCAATGAATTGAAATTTTCAGAATCATTGAAATAATTTTTTAATTAAGTGAATTTAATTCTTTAATTAATCGAAAGGAGTTACTTCCTTATGGTGTAGATTAAATCGAATAAATGCGATTAATGATTCAAATGAAAAAATTAGTTGTTTATTTTGGTGTTTATAATATTATATTCCTAGTGTGATAATTTTAAATTAATTTATATTTGAGTTTAATTAATAACTTAAATAATAAATTCAATAGAACTAACAAACTTTTAAAGTGTTATAAAGAATAGACCGACGAAAATAGCTTACTATGTCTATAATCGATAGTTTTGAAGGCATTAAATAATATATATTTTATACTAACTGCTTAATTTGTATTGTTATTAAATCTGAGTGTTTACTGGCTAGACCTGGCATGTTTTTTGTACTTTTATTGTTTTACTAATCCATACAAATTTTTGTTCGCAGTTAACATTTAGGAATTCGACTTTGTATTCGAACATAGAAATCTTGTCAAACTCTATACAGTGTAGACGCCCGAGAATCTTAATATTAAGATAAATATTTTAATTAGAGCTTTATATATAATTCCAACTGATTGAATATTCGGCCATTTTGATATTTGAAAATGCTTAAATTTGAACCTTCCTTTTAAGCACATCGAGTTATTCGAAAATGTTCAAACACTATACAGGGTTGGACCATTTGTTGCTATATATATTAGTATAGGATAAATCGAAAATGACATAAAACAGAAATGTTGCTGGATTAACTTTAATATCTATGAGTAGCTTAAACATGTTCGAATATTCGAATATTTCTATTCAAATTAATCAAAGTATAAGAGGACAATTTGAGTGATTAAACAACGTAATGATCGAATACTGTTTTATTATATTTAAGAAAGTTAATAATAATCAAGTAATCGTTCTAAAATAATTTTAATTATTAAATATTTCGCATATTTAAAGAATATGTTTGAATTAAGTTTTAATTAAATCTTAAATTTAATCCTTAGTTGAACTTCTTTGAAATCCTAAATATCGTTGTATGTATTCGACAGAAATTTGTCTAATTAAGTTTCTTATGTAGTCTGAATAATTTTTGATTTGAAAATGGACACGAAAAAAATTTTTTTTTCAATGTTAAATTAATAAAATAATATCATTAAATTAATTTATAATTATCAATTGATTTATTACAAACACATTTTTTTATTAATTTCCCAATATATTAATAATTTAAATTAATTAATGATTAATTTAAAAGTTCTTAATTTAATTATTAAAAGTAATTAAAGTATTAAACTAATAAAGAGGTTTTCGAAAAATGGTGAACTACAACAACAAAATTCTTTTTTATATTATTTTAATTAATTGAATTTTTGGCTGACCATACAGCTGTTACTAGTATTGCCAAATACTCATCATCAGTGGTCTTGGAAATAGTTCTTGTATTTAATTATTTGTAAATAATTTTTTTGAGACTACAAGTACCAGCAATCGAATTTGTAGCCTGCCAAATTTGAAGCGCTCAGAGTCAGCGCTCCTTAACCAACTGACCCAAGGGCGTATTTGACTTTTATGTTCGCACATTCTTTCCCTTATTTTCTTAATCCAAAAATTATTTTGTTTATAGAATAATGGCAATATACAAAATAGGTCTCTTGTGAATGTTTTAGCAATAAACAAATTTAAATCAGTTCCGAAAATTAGCTTTAGTAAGCGTTAAAGAAATGCACAAACGAAAAACAGTTGACGAAGTTGAACATTACAAAAAAAAAAAATTACAATGTTTTGAAATCAAGAAAGTATAATCAACTCTTATAAGAAATAAATAATACTAGAGAAATAAAGAAACATTATTTTTTAAGAATTAAAATCGTAAATAGTTTGATATAATAATTCTTTCGATATGTGTTGAATAGATAAAGGTCAGTTAATTAATCAACTATTAGATCCTTACTATGTTCATTAATTTAATTCGTGAGTTCTGTAAGTGCGTTTTGAATTAGTGTTCGAAAATTGCTCAACATAAGTATATATACATATACCTTGTTAAAAGTAACACATAACCCATCTTTTTAAAACCCTTTCACAAAAGTCGAAAAATTAAATCTTTTTTGCACCAAAAACGAAACAAATTATACGAAAAAGAAGAGAAAATGAAGAGAAATAGACAATGATATCATATACTTAATACTTAATCTTCTTAATATTAATCATATACTAATAATACAATTTAAACTATAGTTCTTTTAAATAGTTTAAGGATCAACCCATATTCTAGGTACCTTATTTGAAATTTCTCTGATGGATACAGTTTCATTTTTATTCCTCTGACCTATTATACAAAATAATCTTGCCATGTCCTTTTTTTTGTAGTATAAAGAAGTTTTATAATAGCATTATGAGTTCCTATATGATTCATTGGAAAGGGATTTTCTAACTATCTTATAAATAAATATTTGTTCGTAGATAGTTTATATTTTTTGAATTTTCGCAATATTTTTTTCAATAGTATCAGTATATTAATGATAGAGACAGCATTATTATTACAGATAAATAGTTACATATCACCCAACGCACATCAAAATAATTTCCATGAACATAACAATTATATTACTTTACCAAAATGTGAAGTAATGTAATATAATGTAATATATCCGATATAGTTACAATATATTCAAAGTCAATAAAAATCACTTTAGTACTAGAATCTTTACCTACAATTAAATCTATAAATATGTGGCATTTGTAAAAAGGTTCATTTAATAAAATTTTAATAAGTGAAATGTGTATCTAAGATTTTAAAGATAGCACTGATAGCAATTAGGTCGCCAATACTATTCTAGTTGTTATCTCTTTAAAAGAAGGAAGGCTGTTTACAGCAGCACGAACTGGTTACAGTCTTTATTCCTCCTGGCCCACTTTTTTCCATACATTCATTCTTTTTACTTTATTATCCTAATCCAAATTTAAGCTTTAATCCTCATTCTTCACATTTAGGAACCCTTTTCCACGGTACTTTGCTGTACCTTACCGGCATGTTGAGCTTTTTGACGACGCGTAACAACAACAATAAGATGTAATGATGCTCAATAATAATAAGATTCATGTGTTAAATATTTAAATCAGTTTCTCAACCATTTCTGTACAAAATAACACAGCTGAGGTATTTCAAAAATTTTCCTAAAACATTGGTAATAAATAGATAGCTATGTTACCTATTATCTTTTTAGTTCCAAACTGTTAATATATTATACTTATGCTAAGTTAAGATGACTCTTAAAGCTCTGTTCTCATAGGCTGTCAAGTCACAACAGGTCCTTGAGTGTTATGAGCTCCTACAGCTACTTGTAGCTCGGAATAAGGTTAGCCTTTACTGGGTTTCGGATCACAGGGTAGTTTTATGAAATGAATAAGCTGATAAGTTAGCCAGATCTGCATCAAAAACTGCTTTTACAGGTCCTCAATCCTTTTGTGGGATAAACTGGGCCAGTACAAAACAAATTATCAAGGAAAGGGAAAATCATATGCGGCTGGAGTACTAGGAAGATTTCCCTGGTTTTAGACAAAGCAAAGCACTGATAGCGCCGTACTCCTAGAAAAGCATCCTTGAATTCTCAAAATGTAATTTAAGGTTGTGTTATTATAGATTACTATGGTCTGAAATATCACCTACATAAACTACAATTATCTACTAATTGGGAATGTAGATTATGCCTCGAAGATGAAGAAACTACCATGCATATTCTTTGCGAATGTCCAGCTTTAAAAACGCACAGAAGAAATTTCTTTCATATAGAATTTCTGTCACCAGAACAGATTATCAATTCTTCCCTAGAATTAGTTCTGGACTTTATTCACAAAGCTTTAAGGGGCTTTGTGTGATCAATAGTGAAATTGGTACAATAGGACTTTTCTGGCCGCAGTACCGGCTGTTGGGCGATTTCACGTCTAAACTTTTAATAATAAATTTAATGTTATGAGATACTTATGTTAAGTTTATCCCGAAATTTTCCTTCATAATATTAGCAACCAGTAGGACATATGTGATCTACGTTGAGGAACATTGATATGAAGAGTTTTTAATATTAGCTTAGTTTTCTCTTTTCTGAGCATAAAGACTTTTATCACACTAATACTTAAGATCACTAAGTGTTCAGTAACTTTATTGGTTGTTATAAATAACTTGTGTAAAATTATCAGGAATAAATAGAATTAAATTTATTATTACGTGTTGGAAAAAATATCAAACTTCTTATTAAATTTCAAATAAAGTTATTTGAAAAAAAATTATATATTTTTGTTATTCAGATATTTTAAAGCAACATACAATGGGACTTGGATGGATTGAATTCCTTAACTTTGAAATACATTCAATGTTCTATTGGTGCAATATTTCTAGGCAAACAAAATATCAATCATGCAGAAAATGATTTGATTTTTTACCAAAATCATTTTTATTTAGTTCTCCCATAAAGAATTTACACATCTAGAAACGACAATACGGCAACCTTATCAAACGATGTTTGTACTCGTGCCCTAAGCTGTGTATGCTCGGTTTTAAATATATTTTTTAATGAAATGAAAGTTTTTGCATGGCACAATGTCATGGTGACTTGAACCTCAAATTTTACGGTAGAAAACGTAATCCATTTAGTAACTTGTTTCTTGTTCCTTAAAAGAGATTTGTAACAAAATTAATTTATAAAGTCACACATGTGTGTAAGCTTTACAACATTTTGCAGGAAATGTATGATATGAAACGAATTTAAGTTTTAAAGATTAAATTATTTTAAATTTTAAGGATGAAGTTCCTTTCCAAAAACCTTAAACATTCAGTTTGTGAAAATTGACAAGGAGAGTGTTGAGAGTGATGAGATTCTTATTGGTATATTCTTTACTTATTCCACAAAACAATATTAGTCTTATTTAGTTTGTTAAAAATATTTGGGTTATATTTCTACCAAAGGATGTACATGTGTATAATAATTAAAATGTTTTTCATATTTAAATGTACTAACAAAGCATTGTTTTAAAATTACTTCACTAAAGTTTATTCCACACACTGTGTCTTTAATTATAGATTCCCGTAGTGAATCGCAATCAACTGGAGGAGGGGTTTATGCGAAAACTGAAGATGAAATGTAACCAAAGGGATAACAACTCTTGCTTAATGCTGAAATTGAATGTGTACATGAATCGAATATTTAAAAAGTCCACCATCGATATCAATGACTACATCAGAGTTACAGAAAACAGGTGCACTATGCATTACAATATTATTTTCTTATTGCGATAAAAACAAAGACATTCCTATCTACAGAATCCCAAAACTTTAAAGGAATTCAACTGCATTGAACTAATCAACATTTTTTTCTTATAACTATTATTTGCACAGGCATATGGAAGAAATTGCAGATGATCCAGAGGATGATTTATTATTGGCACGTTCCATTAATTCAGATGATGAAACTCTTGGTCTACTCGTGGCAAATAAAATATGGAAATTTATACGTTCGCGCACATTGCGTTACAAATTTACAGATAATGCCGATTTTGTGGTAACAACAGAACCAAAAGGAAATCTTAATTTGGGTGTTTCAATTAGTCCAAACGTAGCAATGGAGGAAGGACGTGGTAGGCTTAGACATATAATACCACTGCTGTTGGTGATGACGACTAAGGCCGGTGTTATTGGTGCCCTTATACTAAAAGGATTATTTTTATTAGCTGGCAAAGCATTAATTGTATCTAAGATTGCGTTACTCTTATCTGTTATCATAGCACTGAAAAAGCTTATGTCACAGAAGAAGCATGTAGTAGAAATACCACATCATGATAGCTACAATTCAGGTTGGGCGCGTGCGTTAGATGGTTTTCTGGAAGGTATGGCTGACATGCCAGCACAATTAAGTGAACAAGACGCACATGAAATGGCTTTTACGGCACAAAAACCAACATAATATTAAAGAATATAGTAGTTATAGTATTTATAAAGTCATTGTTAGCATTTACATAGACGGGTTAAGTACTATATATGTTATGAAGTGACTTTCACAGTACTTTAAGCAATATAAACATGACTTAAGTTATTGACTTGACACTAAGTAAACAAACACACTAAGTACAAAAATTCATTGACAATCGGACTGTTGAGACTGTAATTATATTTAAAGTAAATATGAAAAAATAATTTTATATAGATTCTGATAAGAGATCAGAGCAAATATTTATAAACGAACAAAAGAATTTACGCTTCTCTTTCAATTAGTTTTATTTTTGGTGTTTTTTGGTTGAAATGCATTTATTTATTTATTTATTATAAATTTAATATTTTTAAACTTTTACTACACTTTAACTCACTTTTGTGGTGTCTTATTTTTTTAATAAACTTTTTTCAAAAAATGGTAGGGTATCATTATAACGCATATGCTGTCATATTTTCCTGGTGTTTTGTGTCTACTTTTAAATTATATTTGCCTTAATTTTTACTGCTTCAACGCTTTTATTGATTTTTTTTTAAATAAAATTAAGTTGAATATTTTTAAAGAATTTTTAAAACTTTTATATATAATTATTTATTTATATAATACATATTTATTATAATAATACTTAAATTTATGTATGTATAATTAATTACAAAATAAATTAAATATATTGAATGCATGAACTATTGCTAAAATTGAGTCTGTCTTTATGCTAATTAAAAATTAAACTTAAACTTAAATTTATAATTTTTTTTTATTTTTTAAAGCACTTTTTGCTATTTGCAGCTTAAAATCAATTTAATTTAATTTCTAATTAAAAAAATGTGTGTGTTATAGTTATTAACTTTTTTAAAAATTTTTTTAATTATTTAATTTAATTTTTGTTTTTGTGTTTATTTTTATTTTTGTTGTTTTTCAATTTTAATTTTTTCTATTTTATTTATATTAATTCTTATTTTATTTTAAAAACTAAAAGATTTTATATATTTCTTTGTCTTCTACGTGCACCACTTAAATGTGTTAAGCAGTCGATTACTGCGTTACGTAGTAAGGATTTTGAGGTTGCAGGTAATTGTACATCAAAGGATGCCTTGCCGAGCTCGCTAAAATGAAAATATAGATGAACAAAAATATTTAATATATATACGAATTCACTAAAAGAAGTCCATTATGTTTTTATAATTGTTACTGCTACAAATATCATTCAGCACTAACTATTACACTTAAATATACGCTTAAAAAGGAATATAAGTAACTATTTTTTGAATAAAAAAATATTAAATAGAAGGTTTTAAATAATTCCGAAATATCCTCTTAAAATCGTCATTGCAACTACAAAACAAACTCTATGAAATATTATGCTTATATTCTTCTGGAATGGGCTGGGTTTGAATCTGGACCATTTATGCCTTGAATGCGTTGAGTGCACTCATCATTACTGTTAACTTTTATTTCAGTTTTTCTTCTGTTCGATCAACGATACAGTTATAAAAGATCTATTAAAGTCGTTATATTTCTTCTTCCTTGCTCATTATTGTTACTAATATCAATATCTTTTATTAAATATTATTTTTATTTGGTATTTTATATTAGATGTATACAACCATTGTCAGTCCAACATTAAGTAATGGTATTGCAGTATTATAGGGACCTTAGGGCAAGACGTATAACATTCAGAACTGTCAGAGGGCATTATATGTCCAAAGGATGTGTCGAACGGATACTATAAATGTGATACTTAGATTTATTTATTGTTATTTATATCATTAGTATACTCTTATGATGTTAACACTGGATTAGTATACTAGTCTATTTTTTTTAAATTAATTGTTAAGACAAAGACATCTACTTCCTTCTGGTGTTATTAATAACACCTAGTTATTAACAAAGCTAGATTGAACTCCTTCACAGGAACCGCGTGAACACTGCAAGGCTTGTTGTAGTTCTCTGTTAACTTTTGAATGGTAAACTAAGCACAGAAACTGAAGAGGTTATAAAAATTTTTGAAAAATAGAAACAAACAAGCATTTTCTTCACAATTTCCTAGTTTCACAAACAGAAGAAACAAACTTTCACAGAAGAATTTTTTTGCTAGATTGTAAGAGTATTTACATTAAAGGATGACAGATCTGTGAAATAACTTTAATTTATTGGGAACCAGCTAATTTTTGTCTATCTAGACTTTTTACAAGACATATTCTTACAACTCACCTCAAGGCAAAAAATATTTGCCGACCCGTTCCTGTAACCAGTCTACACATTTAACAATATATAAAATGAATGACATAAATAATTATTAGTTAATAATATTCCGAGAACATTTGTTTATGTTTGTCAAAAAAGAGTTTAGTATTAATAGCTGAAGACCTCCTTAATGTAAAATAAATTTCGAGATCATGCAGAATACGATTTCATTGCACCCTGACGCCACACCCCGGTCAGTCCATCACAGAATACTAGTTACTTTAACTATTTTGAAAAAAAAAAATAACACAACTCATCATCATCAAGCAGTATGCCAACTAATGTGAATACACAAGTAGTAATCAATTTGATGACAAATACTAATGAGCTAACTTTTAAATATCCATTAACTGATCATAAAACGGACGTTAAATGCATTTAAGATATCTATTACTATCTGAAATATCTACTGAAAATAAAGTTCAAACCTATTAATCACCAATTCGTTGTGTGTAACTGACTTAAAGTATTTGAAATGCAAATAGATGATGTTGAGAAAGAACAAAAAGATTTTTTTTTAAGATATTGGACTTCTAAGTTGCCAATATAGTTTGTAGCAGTAATTATTTTGAGATCTGACATTTGATTTATTGTCAGTATATTTTGCTGGTGGGTGGTGGCTTGTCTTATTTCAAAAATGTAAAAAAGCGCTATAGATTCAAAATCAATGACATTAATTCTCTTATTAAATAGTATTAGTTTGCTATAATTTTTATTTTAATAACAAGTCCAACATCATGTACAGCGCACGAAACTGTGGAGTTACTGCAGCAGAAATGTAACGATCGGGATTAGGCTTAGCTCGATTATATGATCTTGACGATTTGTTTTATTCTCTACTGTATTATGTGAAATCGGAAGCCCTTGTACTTCCGAATTGTCAGTTCAATTTAGTTAATGTAGGAAGATCTCACTATGAACAATCTTTTAAGTTTCGTTAAGAATGTTATATGATTATATGATGCTGGCTTTCATATAAACTTCATCTAAATGAGACTAAAATGGTCTAAGTGAATTGCAATTCCATATGCAAAATTTATTTTCTTATAAGTGAATTTATAAGATTACGTGCTATTCCAATACATTTTTAATAGGTAAGAAAATTGATAATACCGCATTAGAATGTGTCACATGTTCTCGAGAATAATGATTCTGTATGTAAAATCTATCAAAATATATGGTTATGTATACATATAAGAAGAATGTAAAGTTATTTATAGCAGGAATAAGGAACAGTTATAGCATAGATGAGGGTATATATATATGTATATAAATATGACTAACTATAAAGTGGACATTATTAATATATTTCAGTTAAATACTAATGCTTCATTGGTAGCATTATATTATTTAATAAGTTTAAACTAAAACAAGTTTATTGATAACATGAAGACATCTGCATAAAAATAATGAAAATACAATCACAGAGTAAAGTCCTGACAATTGTTTTGGAAAAGTTCTGCAAAAATGTCGCTAAACTTCAATATTACCTAAATATACTTAAAATATAAGAAATATTTTTTGCTGTTTTTATATGAATTTTCTGGCTTCATCCATATAATCGTTCCTTAAGCTATTTTCAACAGCAGTTTCAGCAGCTGCATAAACAAGAGGCTTCACAAAATTAAAATTTTTATACAGCGATTTAAGACGTGTCCTAGCTACGTTATTTAGCATGCCATTATGCTTCTCTTGTGCTTGTAAGAGTAATTGCAATGGCAAGTCTCCACCTACACAGTGATTTCGTACTAAAAAATTCTATAACAATAAATGGGAAAGAAATTTAGACTTACTTTTCGCCATCCAAGAATCCTCGCGCTTAATTTTCGGTCCCAGACCGGCTGCATTTAATGCAGCGAGCACTTGTGTGTTGTTGTGTACATCAGCAACATTGTGATGCAAATTACTTTCAGCAGCAAGATTTTCTAAACCTGAATGCCCTGTGTGATGAGGTAGCGGTGCAGCGGCAGCTGCCAACTGCAACGCGGCAGGATACATGCCATCTGCTGCAATTTCAGCACCACCCATGGAATGCATAGGGTACTCCATGCTATAGGGCATCATGTAAGGTGGATGTTCCGGAAATTGGTACAGCATTCTATTATGAAAGACAAAGTTTTTTTATTTCTATATTTTTTAATTAAGTATTATTACTTGTTTTGTAAATTTTACTACTTTTTGCTTTGTATTTTATCTTTATTATTGTTCTGGAACTTACTTCTCTGATGCGCTGTCCATTAACTTCTTTATAATAACCAGAGCAGCGACAATGAATGCTAATTTGGATACGATTAACGCTTTCAGTGTGAGTAAGCCAACTGCTTTCGCAGCTACTAAAGTCCAACCAAAAGTAGTTGCTGCTAGATACATTGGTATTAACATTTGGAGTTGCTTTTTATCATGTCGTCGACGTCTGCCGCGGCCACCACCATGTCCAGTTTCACCACGCAACTCTAACCCATCATCCCCATTTTTATTATCTCCACGTGCACGCCCTAATATTTAATTATGCGTATATAAAATATTTTTTAATTTATTATTTAATTCTTGAGATTACGATAGGGTTTAATAGCATACGATGTGTTTCATATATGACGTATATATCTTATAGCATATGTAGTGTAGAGTAAAGAATTACCTAAAATATTTCAAATTCTTGGCGTATATTTTAGATCTGACAATTTCATGCTTAATAATATAAATTAAAGACTGCATTGCATCCAATCAAGCAA